CAAAGAGTCTCGCTCTGTCCACCAAGCTGGAGTGCAGTGGCATAATCACAGCTTACCACAGTCTGAACTTCTGGGGCTCAAGCAATTCTCCCACCTTAGCCTCCTGAGTAGCCTGAACCACAGGCACATGCCACCAAACCCGACTAATTTTTTTTATTTTTTGTACAGACAGGGGCCTCACTGTGCTGTCCAGGCTGGTCTCAAACTCCTGGAGCCAAGTGATTCTCCCATCTTGGCCTTTCAAACTGTTGGGATTACAGGCATGAGCCACCATGCCCAGCTGAGGCTGTCTTCCAGATCTGGTGAAGTACTTAGAAAGGAGCAGGTGGCTTCTCTTTTGTCTCTGGCTTGGCAATTGGAGGTTTCAGAGCAGGGTTTGTCTCCAGATGTTGATGGAAGCGACCAGTCCTTGGTGGCCTCCTACAGGAAAAGTCGTGTTCTTCCATGTTTCCTCTACACACAGACAACCATTTTGCCAGGAAAGCAGCCCCATCTTTAGTGTCATTGACCACGGGCCTGACTGTCATCAGTCATGACAGAGTTGGGGGTGTGCAGGCCCAGCGCAGCCCAGAGTGGGCTCCATACTTGACACCCGGTAGACCAGAGCACCTGCAGGGTAATCTCCCCCTTACTATGGGTAGATTTACTGTTCCACAACCAACAGGTGGATGCATGTACCTAGAACAGTCTGTTGTGGGAATAAGTGGAATAATCCATCAGCACTACACAGGCATCTTCTCTTCATGTACACCTGTAAAATCTCCACTGTTTGAAGAGACAGTCATACCTTGGGGTGGGTGCTCGGGGAATCTAGGTATTTGCACTCAGAGGTGGCAAGCCTGAGGGGTTGAAGGGAAACAATAATTGGAAATGTTAGAAATATATATGGAGAAATTAATGGAGAAATGATCATTTTAACGTGACATGTAAGTGTAAACAGGGCAGCCAGTTGAAGCAGTCTCGCAGAAGGCAGGCATTGTGAACAGAGGTGAGACTGAAGGCTCCAAGCAGCACCTGCATACGTGAGGCAGCTGAAGCACTTTATAGCATGATTACTTAAGGACAGAACATAGAAGAAGGTAAGCCTAGGGTCAGGAAGTAAGTCAGAAAACACCTTCGGTTGTGAGCAGAAAGGAAAAAGAAAAAAAGCTCCAGGAAAGACAACAGGATGGAATGGGGTGGTGAGGGATATGAGACAAGTTAGACACAAAAATACAATGAATGCGGGCACCACAAATCAATGGAGAGAGATGGCCGGGCATGGTGGCTCACACCTGTAATCCCAGGGCTTTGGGAAGCTGAGGTGAGTGGGTCACTTGAGCTCATGAGTTCAAGACCAGCCTGGGCAACATGGTGAAACCCCATCTCTACAAAAATGAGCCAGGCATGGCAGCACATGCCTGTAGTCCCAGCTACTTATGAGGCTGAGGCAGGAGAACTTCTTGAACCTGGGAAGCAGAGGTTACAGTGAGCCAAGATCATGCCACTGCACTCTAGCTTGGGCAATAAAGTAAGATCCTGTCTCAAAAAAAAAAAAAAAAAAAAAAGAATTATGTAGAGAAAAATATATTTGCATTCTTACTTAACATTACCTACAAGAGTGGACTTTAGGTCTATGCTGTCCAAAGCTGCAGCCACCAGCCATGAGTGGCTACTGAGATGTAGCCAAACCAAGTATGCCATGACTGTAAAACACCAGATGTCAAGCATGGAAGAGGACAACAACTTTAAATATCTTAATGTTTATATTAATTATGTGTTGAAATAATATTTTAGATATATTGGGTTTCAAAAGTATCATTAAAGTGAATTTCAACTATTTTGTTTACTTTTTTCATGTGCTTGCTGGAAATTTTTAAATTATATATGTAGCTTACATTGTATTTGTATTGGACAGCACTGCTCTAAATGAGATCCAGATCTAAATGCAAATGGTAAAAAACATAATGTTAATAGGCTGGGCTAGGTGGCTAATGCCTGTGGTCCCAGCACTTTGGGAGGCCAAGGCAGGCAGATCACCTGAGGTCAGGACTTCGAGACCAGCCTAGCCAACATGGTGAAATCCCGTCTCTACTAAGAATCCAAAAATTAGCCAGGCATGGTGGCACATATCTGTAGTCCCAGCTACTCAGGAGGCTGAGGCAGGAGAATCATTTGAACCCAGGAGGTGGAGGTTGCAGTGAGCTGAGATCACGCCACTGCACTCCAGCCTAGGTGACAACAGTGAAACTCCGTCTCAGAAAAAAACATAATAGAATAAAATGTTGGATAATATCTTGTGACTAGCGGGGGCTACAAAAGAACATCTTATACAAAAGTTCAAAAGCAAGCCACGTACAGTGGCTCATACCTGTAATCCCAGCACTTTGGGAGGTGAGATGGAGGATCACAAGCTCAGAAATTCAAGACTAGCCTAGGCAACACAGCAAAACCCCATTTCTACAGAAAAAATTTTTTAAAATTAGCCGGGCGTAGTGGCACCCACCTGTAGTTCCAGCTACTTGGGAGGCTGAGGAGGAAGGATTGCTTGAGCCCCAGAAGTCAAGGCTGTAGTGAGCCATGATCACACCCCACTGCACTCCTGGGCAACAGGCTATTCAAAAAAAAAAAAAAAATTCAAAAGCACAGCTTTAAGATAGAAATTAATTTCATTGCCTAAAAAATAAGGATTTCAGGCCGGGCGCGGTGGCTCACGCCTGTAATCCCAGCACTTTGGGAGGCCGAGGCGGGTGGATCACAAGGTCAAGAGATCGAGACCATCCTGG